CCTATTCTATCTAATGTAGAGAAATTTTTAGTATAAGATCGTACTCCAAATTTTACTCAGTAAAAGTACAGAAGTATTTTCAGCCTAATGTGCTTAAACCATCAATACTGAGCATTATATTATATTGTTGTATTATTGTTATAGATTATCTGTTTATCTATCTGTTATGTTGTGTGTGTGTGTGTGTGTGTGTGTTTGTTGCAGTACTGATTTATATTTATATGTTGTTTACGTTCTGCATGATAATGTATAGTTCCTTGTATATAATATTTTTTACTTATACTTTTACTCAGTGTGCATTTCACCATCTTATCTTCTATAACTACTTTGTTTGCTTTTGAACAGTTTCCAGTTGCTTTTCTTCAATTATTCATTTTTTATTTGTAAAGCACCTTGTAAATGTTTCTCATCTTATCTTCCCTTGGGTTGGAAATTCCGGCCCACCTGACACAGTATTGATGACATTAATGTCCCATGCAGCTATCACATTGCATCTCGCAACCCCTGCATAGGCATTCATATCATGTTCATATAGTCCCCTTCTTGTGTAGACTTAATACAATATTATATTTTTGAGTTATTACCTCTGAGAAGATCAAGAAACAAAAGTGCAATCATGGTCTAATCTGAGAATTCAATGGGCCGAGGCTGCAAGAGTTTTCATTACTGCATAACTTTCTTTATTGATCAATTATTTACCCCACAGGAAGTCAAAAAACAGTAAAAACTGCCCAAAGCAGGTTCTTAGAGGCCAAAGGGATGTGTCCTGTTTAGTCAGACCAACAATCTTAAGCCAAAGACACAACAACTGCTTTGTTATACCAAAAAAAATCCAGATATATTTCAGCTAATTGACCACATGACAATAACTTTGGTCTTTCTGGGGATTGGGAATGCAATCCCACCTGACACTGCATTTGCATTAATTTCCACTCATAACATTTAGGTCCTACTCAGATTTCTCATCACCCCATCCTCCTGCATGTAGGTATTCATATCTTATGAGTCGGGAGAGATAAGCTGAGAGAAACAGGTCACTGATGCATATTTGTATTAAAAACTGAGGAACATCCTGACCAGACTTTAAGTTTTCAAAAATATTTCCTCCATCAGCCTCCTGAGCCATCTCACACACACTCTCTCACACACTTGTAGTCTACATGAATACTGAAAACGAGGCAACACATGATTCTATGCTTTGTCATAATCATAACCATATTAACAGGAGCCTTCTGATCCCAAACGCTTCAATACTGAAATCCTGAAATGACCTTTTTGTTCTGAGAAGTGGATTTAATCGATCCTTCTGGCTGCCGTCGAACACAGGTTTTTCAAGAAAAAGGACAACCACAGTTATTTTGGTGACTATTTATTGTTCTATTTTATGACGCTCCATCCTCACCAGGAATTCAGAGAAACACAACAATCATATGTTAACCCAGGACCTGCAGAGATGTGGATGATATCACATCTCTCATTTTTGAGTTCCTGATACAACACTGTTTTCCTATAATTTCGTTAAATCCCAGTGTGTGTAAAATTGGAGTGCAGTTTTTGTGAAGATCAGCAGAGACTCTGGGGATATTAAAGATTATCCATCTGGATGAAGCAGTTTGGTAACTGGAGAGCACTTTACGAGGAAGGCAGAGGGTTTACCAAGAATTTGAGAATGAAAAAGTACACAGTGTATGAACCTACACAGCTCCACATTCACTCCAGCTCTTTTTAGTTTTTTCCACGTGCCTTATCTGAGCTTTATTTGATATTTTTGAGTGATTACTTCTCAGAAGATCATTGCCCTCTTGTAACAATGCTAAAGTCCTAGAGAGGGACTGCGGCTGCAGCTAATGATTATTTTCATAACATCATTTTCAATAATAAACAATAATAGTAAATGACGAAAATAACAAATCATTTTCTTTATTGATCAATTATTTGCTCTATAGGAAGTCAGACAATAGCAAGATTTTCTTTTGACATTTTTCATTAGAAACTGACTTCAACATTAACTCAATCACCAAAACAGTTGTAGATTTATTGTATTTCAATCAGTTAAATGATCAAATGACTATAGATCAATTTGGACTTGAGGAACTACAACTGTTTTAATGTATTGGTCTACTTGAATGAAGAGGCAGTGTTTGAGATTCTCTTTTGTGAAACATTTGCTCTGATGAAAGCTTTAATGATGTACAACTTTTAATATTAAAGATGGGGTAAGCGATATTAAATGAATTCACTTTTTGTTCATTTCCACTAATATCTCCTCACGGTCCGCTAGCTGTTTGTGCTCTGTGCGTGCTGAAAGATAATCTGTTTTAATGCACAGCCCCTGCTTTGTATTTTCGAAACAAAAGGCGCTTTAAGACATGTCATGTGGAGGAACTCTGGAGAAGTAGTTCCGGACTTTTTCAGCAGTTTGTTTTTCACATATGCACAAGGCAGTGGGACATGTTCACAACAGCAATAAATTCTCCACAGGATTCAGGTGAGGGCAGCAGACAGAGTCAGGATGCAACAAATGTATTCATCTGCAGAGGTTTATGTTTACAGCACATCGACACCGGCATCGTCTCTTATCACCACAAACTCCAGTTCTCTGTGTGTGAAACAGATTTTTCACCAGGAGATAATTGATTTCTTTATGTTTTCTCAGTTTTGCATCTGTGTTAGAAGCATCATCATCACTCGCTGACTGTGAATCCAGCGTAGGATCTACTGCTGCAGCCGTTTAGTCCACTGACTGGTAAATAACAATCGGTGTCTAAATGTCTGCATCTTCACGAGTGACACACACTCACTGTTGCAGTGGATTTTGGTCATTGAAGATGTAGTTTGTGTAGATACAGAAGGGTTGACTGCTATTGTTCATGATTAGAAGACACTCGTCCTAAAATAACAATTCAACCTTGATTTTTAGATTTTAGATGTTTAGAGCTCACCCATTAATTGTTGTGATTGTGTTTTCTGTGAGTGGACTAGTGTTTGTTTCAATAAAGCATCACATCCTCCTCAGTGAACAGCTGCAGCTGAGTCATCACACACGATGAACCTTTTTAAATGGTCACTAATAAAAACAAGAATCCGAACAAAAAACATACTTCTGAAACAAGCTGTTGTTGTAACTTCATTGCAGAACATTCGGTATATTCACTGTTTTTAATGTATGATAAGATATTTGAGCCATTGTTTGTCGTATTTGCCGTGTTTCGATCCCACACCACAAACTGATGCATCTTTTACTGTCACAGAATCCCAGTTTGAATATTTTATTATTCATGTTTTCCAAGATCTTCCCCAAAGTTATTTCACTCCCTCTGTGCAAATATGTAACAATTATTGTTTGTGACTAGGTCCCTCATTTGCATCCTGCACTGGGTGGCAGCACCGCAAAGTCTGTCAGATGCAGAAATGAACACCACATATCTGCACGCTGACAGCCTGACTATAATTAACTCGGCCTGTGTGAACACACTGCATACCCAGAACTTACTAAGAATCAGTAACTGAAAGGATGTTTGGGATCCAGTTAGTAACTGCTGTTTTCTGTGAAGGTGGAGAAAAAAAACGGGAATTTCCTGAAGGTTCTGAGAAAAACTTTCACTGCCTGGAATCAGAAGCATAAGCTGATCCATTGTATGTTGGGCATTTATTCAAAGGCAGAGCTTTGTTAACAGGCCTGGAAAGATCTGCTGAGTAAGCCTGTCGTTAACTGCAGAATTTAGACTCATTGATGATGGATTTAACTGAAGATGTGTTGTTTTCCTTTTGCAGATACGTGTATTCACAGCATTCTGGGTTGGTGATATTAAAACCTAAAGTACAATACAGTATGTTGCAGATGTAATAATGAATCTAAAAATGCTAGCAGCATGACTTTATGCGATAACATAACCACTATGCACCAATCTGAAACATCTCCACAAGCATCCACTTGAATCTCTTTTAAATTCGTTACAGACGTTCACAGAATCCTCCTGACTGTAGTGAGCCAGTGGCCGTGGCTTCAAAGTGTTTGTTAAAATCAAGCTTAAAACCGAGAAATCAAATGTTGTGCACTTGATGACGCAGCCATGGTCGCAAATTTGTCCTGTGGAGCACACAGCAGAACATCATAGGGTTAAATCCACACAGTGCAGCCTTTCAGACGCTGCAGCCTCCCTGTGTTTCATCGCCGTGACTAAAGGGGAACTGTAGTATTGGGGATCTGAATGTGCAACTCTTGGTCTGATTTAAAAAAAACTCTCCCATCAGAGAGTTATTTATGCCGTTTTTTTTATCTCAACACAACAGGCCTCCCACAGCACCAGCCTCACTATGAAGAGTAGTTACAGTCATATCTCAGGGATCATCCAACCATTTTACACACCACATGCTAGATTAAAGAAAAGGAATCTCAACTAAGAAAGCCTAATACCACAGTATAAACAAGGCTTTATTTAGTTTCCTTTCATATTGTATTTTTCTTACAAACATTGTTGATACAAAACAGGGACTGAAACATCTGAAGAATGTACACGTCAGTAGCCCACAACAGTGTAAACTACATATGTATGTTTAATAACAATATGGAAGACAGAAGGGTATCTCCATTACTAGATAATCTGACTCTATTACAAACAGGAGGTCATCAACACGTGCTTTCTTTGATATTTTATTCATATTGTTACCTTCACCAAGGAGTTTGGGTTTTCACCCGTCTGTTAGTTTGTTGGTTTGTAAGCAGGAATACGCAAAAACTGATTTCCACGAAACTTTGTGGAAAGATGGATCATGGGCCAAAGAAGAAACTGTGTAAATTTGGACAAAAAGGCAGATTCAAGAGATAAGAGGTTTTGTGACATTTTCACTGATTTACCAGAGAATAATGCATGGATCTTTGTTTTTTAATTGATCTTGATGGAAAAAGTCAGGGATATTTAGAGGACTGAAATACGTGTTTATAAAGTTTGTTGCCAATCCCCAAAAAATTGGTTGGCAGGATTTTTTTCAGCCTCTGTATGGTAACAGTTTTTGCCGTGGATAGGGGCCTTGGCGAAGGTATGTGTTCTACTGAGTGTAATTCAAGTTTATCATCATTTTTTTGTCTTATTTTACAGAGGAATATCATCACAAACAGAAAAGACAATCAGAAACACAGAGAGAGACATTTCTATTAAAAACAGATTTGTTGTGTATATTGTAATTCAGGACACAAAGAGGACATCCATCAGTTTGCTCATCCCTCTGTGCTTGATGGGGGTGTTAGTGGGTTAGGGGCTACAGAGAGGTTTCGTCCACATCTAGCTGCTCTGCATGGACTCCCCTGTCCCCTTAATGAGACGCTTGTGTCCCCTTTTCCCTGCTGGACCGCGGGGCTTAGCAAAGGCCTGTTTGTGAGCATGTTGCTTAGGATGGACCTCGTCGTACAGGAAATCCTCCGTCAGTTCATCTCCATTATCAATCTCCAACTGCAAAAAGAAAAAAGATGCAGGGGTTAAAAAATGTAGTGAGCAAACTCTTGGTTAAAGAACATAAATAACTGTCACATTTAGTCATCATGGTAAGATTGTGTATGTTTGGAACTGTGTACAAACAGGTAACCAACTTTTTTTTAAGAAGCCATGAATTCAAGTCCACCCTAAATGCACCCTTGCCCCCCCCCCTCACATGAGATTACCAAAGATCTCATAAATATCTGTCCCCTAAATGAGCCAGATTCTTTTTCTTCAAGACGTCATGAATTATTCCCTGGTAAAATGGGAATAATCTGGCTATGTTAAAGAAAAAATAAATCCTGGATCCACCCCTCATCCAGATCCACAACAAAATGTGACCCATACCACATTCTTCCACTGAATTTCGTGGTAATCTATCAAGTTGTTTTTGTGTAATGCTGCTTATTAACACAAACACAGATGAAAACATCCATGTGGTGATACTTAACATCTGAATCCTGTGTCAGAGGATCTCCACACTGCTAAGAACACAATGCTGGTGTAGAAACAATTATCTTTTATGTCTTTATTCTGGGAAGTCTTTCAAATCTGCATTATTTAGTCTGAAACCTTGGAATCTGTCACCAAAATTGTTTCTAAGAAAGAAAAAATCCAGAGAACACAGCCTCAGTTTCCTGAGTGGCTGTATGAACTTGTAATCCAATTTTCTTTCCATCAGGTACCTTTTTAGCAATTTCCAACTTGTAATCTTTCTCCACATCCTCCAGTAGTCGACTCTTACAGCTGGAATACAGCATTCGCTCCTTGATGCTGCAGCTGTACCCTGGCATGGAGTATATGAACACTGCAGACCGGGAAAGAGAATAGATTTCCAAGATCAGATTTCTAAGAATTAGAAGTAAATATTTACAGTTGATGTAGATCAGCTGTTAGAAACCTGGAGGCAACGTCCCCATCAAGGCGCCGGGATGATTTATGGAGTTAAAAAAGAGGGGAAAGAAAACTAAGATTCTGTTTTCTCTGACTTGTATCTGGGTTAAGCTTTTTATTTGTGAAATACCGGATTCCTTGGATATTGTGTCTTCTTTAAGCATGTTACGATTATTCATGAACTTCTCACAGCTCCTGTCCACAATAAGGCTTTTTTTTTTTAACACAGTGTGGATAACTGGTAACTGATAACTGTGCGTTCAGACGCTCATACCGACAGATTCCAGGTAGTCTCCTTCGTGGGAGTGTTTGTAGAGGAAGAAGTGATATCTGGGAGTGTCTTTGGGAACTCTGCTGGGCAGATCTCGAGTTTCTGTCGGGTTGGAATGGACCAGCTCGATGATCTCCTTCTGTACGTCCAGCCTCTGCAACACAATGAATAAACAGTAGACAAGTAGTAAATCAATACTCCTGACACCAAACTGATCTCAGCAGAACAAGGTCTCTGCTTTTCTAAACATATAGATAGATCTATCTATATATAGATAGATAGACAGATAGATATCTCATGTCATCAGGCTGACCAGTTGAATGTAGTTGATGTGTTTTTGGGCCAGTTGCTGCAGGGCTCTTCTGGCTGTCTCTTGCAGAGGGAAAGCAAGGCCCTGAAGTGTCTGGTGCTTTGTCTCCACGCTGATCTCTGTCTTCACCTGCAGGGGGCAGCATGCAAACACACTATGAGCCTCTAAAGCAGGACCCAGAGAGCTTACAATGGGATAATACAGCTTTACCTCACTGTACTGAAGTGCAAATGTATTTTCATATTTTAACACGACTAACAGATTCAGGTTCTGTTAATTTCCGTATTAACATCAAATCTGAGTTACACATACACACACCGTATGTATCGTGTCAACATACCTGTTTAACTCGGCCCTGAGAGAAAAAGGGAACAACACAAAAGAGATGTTACAATTAGAGGAAACTAATTTAAGACAGCAGAAAAAGAGAGCTCACACACAAAGCTATGTGTCGTGTTGACAACACTGCAGAGGCCATGTTGACCTCTCACCTCTGTGATTTTGATTCTCTGGAGCTCCTGCTCGGCTAATGTGAGCGGGGCAGGACCTGAGCAGGATGACACATGATGTTGGTAGCCCAGCAAACAGATGTCCTCCTAGTGTCACATGCAAAACAAGAGAGTATTTTTAAAACACGTAGTTAAAAGCAGCATAGATGATCCGCTGCAGGAAAATACAGAGAAACAATAGAACATAATCCCTGTGGTATTATCTCCATTTCTGCTTTAAATGCTCGTAAAAAAAGATCTGATCTTCACATAAGTCCCAAGCGAAGACAACCACAATAACACACACAGTTATGAGCTTGTGTGTCTTTATTAAACACATCCATTAGACTTTCACAGAGCTGATAGAAGTAGTGAAGTGATTCCTTGGATTTAATAACTGGCTGAACCTCCTTTGGCAGCAATAACCTCAAACAAGCATTTCCAGTATCTGTGGATCAGACGTGTGCAATGTTCAGGAGGGATCATAGAGCCTCATATTCTCAGGGTGTCTGGTGTAAACATCTCTCTGAGGTCAATCAACAATCTATATTGGGTTAAGCTGTGGGCTCTCACTGAGCTTTTCCAACCGGTGATTTTATTTGTTCGCAGTCTTTCGGTGTGAGAATTATTTCAGTATTTACAATAATTTCCCTGCTGCTCTATCACCCAACTCCTCCTCCTCAGCCAGCCTGATATTACCCTCTAAAACACCTTGATAAACTTGGGTGCTCATTTTGCTGAAGTGGTCCACAGAAGAAGCAAAGAGGAAGCTGTCTGTGAATGTGTGAATGTGTGCTTCCCAAGCTCATGAGCCGCCTCTCCATTACGTGATCCTGCTAAAGAGGAGGTTCTCACCTTCATGTTTGTCTCAATGTTGACTGATGAAGATTCAAACTTTAGCTTGATGCTTTGAGATCTCTGTTTTGTGAGTCATGTTCTCACTGCAGCAGCTGCTGTCAACAGTAAACTCAAAATGTTTGCGTCATGGTTTTAATAAATCAGTGACTCTGACTCTCTAATTTAGTTTCACTGACTGGTCTCCAGATAAACAAACCCCTGACTTTTGTTTGTGTCATTACAAGACGAACAACCACGAACTGTGAATGTTAATGTGTTTCTGAAACATAGACAAGTGCGATACAAGGATCTTTACGTTGTGAAAATCTGAAGACAAGTTTACACAGATAGATGCAGATCATTTCACAGGGTTCACATACTGCTTTAAAATGAATGGTAATAGCTCTGACCTCAGCTGTGCCAAACATCTCGTACTTGACGTGGCCTCCACCAAACTCTTTCTTCACTGTGGCGCGGGTGGCAGCGTACAACATCTTTTGTTTCACCTGTAAACATCAGAGGGACAACGTGTGACTTTCTCTGTGTGTGTGTGTGTGTGTGTGTGTGTGTGTNTGTGTGTGTGTGTGTGTGTGTGTGTGTGTGTGTGTGTGTGTGTGTGTGTGTGTGTGTGTGTGTGTGTGTGTTTGCTGTGGGAGGAAAATAAATGCTATGAAACTTGGTTTTGCATGTTTTATTCACCCATGTATTTGGATTTATTCTTTTGAATCTAAATAGTTTACATTTTGAGTATTTACAAATATATTATTATATTTCTACTCACAGCTGAGAGAGCTGAATTGAATGGATCCTGAGAGGTGCTGCTGGCTATGTTTACACAGGCCCTCGGCATCTATTGCACTTCTGTCCGTCCTGGGAGTGGGATCCCTCACATGTGGCTCTCTCTGAGGTTTCTACCTTTTCCCCCTGCTAAAAGATTTTGTTTGGTAGTTTTTCCTGACTCTTTTTTGCAGGTTAAGGACAGAGGATGTCGCACCTGCTAAGCCCTATGAGACCAATTGTAATTTGTGAATATAGGCTCTACAAATAAAATTTGAATTTTGCGTGATGAACATTTGGAAACCAAAATGATGTTAAAAAAGACAATATAACTAATAACGGATGGGATTTTATGGTGATTCCAAAAGATCAGTTGACTATAGGGACTAAAAATCAGGATTTTGTGTCGTCTGCTGTTTTAATCTTGATTGACTCCTAAACTTATATTAAATTATTCTATATTAAATTAAATAATAATTAGTTTCTTTTAAAACTGCATGCTAAATTTGAGATACCCCCCCACATCACCAATAACATGTTATGTGCGACCACAGTGTGGAATATACGGTACTTGTTGCGACTTACTGGAGACTGGTCAGGTGACCACGAAATGAAGATCCACTCGTAGCCCTGTGCATTCTGGGAGTCGAGTCGATAGAGAATATAGCAGGGCTCCTGGTCGTCCAGGAGAGGAAGCAGGAAGCAGTCATAGTCCTGGTCCCAGCTTTTTTCCGGCTCCCTGCAGGCCCCCAGCACCAGCTGCTCTGAAATCAGACCAGTACTCATCACATACCTCAGCCCATTTATTGCATGTAGCTTGGCCTTTGCACAACCCTGTACAGCCTTCAGTCACGGATTCTAATGATTTACATGAAGCATCACTGCAATGTGTCCAAATATCAAGCAGATAGTGTCAGACGTGAAGAACCTCAAATGTGTTGGTTACTTGTTTTCCTGCTCAAACAGAATGCAAACAATTTGAGATAACATATAAAAATTCATACACACAAATACTTCTGAGTGACTAAGTTATTTCTATTAAATATGTTCTTATACTACAGATTATGTGTTTTTTTCCATAATTTTAATATTTTCATTGATTTCTCAGAGAATGATTCATGGATGTTGAAATCAGGAATTTTAAGGGACTGATATCTATGAGTGTGTACAATTAGGTGCAGATCTAAATAAAAAAAAAATCTGGGTCCAGTGAATTTAAATAAAATGACTGTTCAGCCTTAGGCGCTTTATAAGTCCCATTTTAATAATTATAAAATTTTTTTTTTTACAGCACCTTTCTAAACACCCATAGACACAATATATTATAAATAAACATGAATAAGACCAAGAGATAAAATTACAAACCCATATATAACACGTGGTTAGAAAGTCAAGGGTAAAATCAGGTTAGGAGTTAAAGACACCTGACTGAATGTATCTGAACACAAGACTGACTAAAAGTAAAAAGGCTAAAATCTGATTAGTGAAGGATAGATGAAACGTATGATATGATCTAAACAGATGGTTTGAGTTGTGAATTGTAATTATATTGAAGATATTTCTTATAATATTGTAAAATAGAGAAACTTGTCATTTTTGCTTGATTATCAGAGGGTCAGCAGAGCTGCGTCTGGCTGTTTCATGTGCTGATTCAAGGCAAAGATCCCCCCCCCTTCAGTTAAAAATATCACAGGATTAATTTCTGACTGACTGGACAGGACATGGTCGACTCTCTCAAAGGAGCTGACGAAGAAAATCAAAACCTTAATAGCGTTGGTTAATTAAGTACTCACAACATACATATAAACCCTAAGTCTGATGGCTGTGTGGGGTGCAGGGGGGGGGGGGGTTCTGACTGTCTCTTGGGCATGTTGCTATTCTGAGCTGCAACACATTCCATCCCTGCATGCACGCATACTTTCCTTTAGCCATCCTCTCCCAGGCCTCGTCTTTATGTGAATATTAAACCGTGTGTAAATGGCTCAGTGTACGTGTTCGAGCTTAAGACAGTCGTAAAAACCATTAGACATTTGTGACAGTTCAGATGGGGTACAACAGGACAGGTGACAGGAAGTGACCCACTGAGCTGGTGGTGATGAAACAGACTTGTGCGCTCTTGTTTCTCCTCTGACATTGGAACGAACATGAGGACTCAAACTGTGTCCAGTCACATGTCGCTCTAAATAACCGAGTGACGCCACGGAGAGTTCAAAGTCAAACAGAGCTGACTGCTGTGAGACTGTCTGTCTCTCTTATCAGCACGCTGGTCTCTGTGGACATCAACACCCCAAAATACGAGAGCAAATATTTTATATAAACAGACAAGACGCGGAGAGAGTCTCAGATGCATCTGTCATGAATCAAATTACAGCACGGCAGTGATAAATTGCCAAAATAAGATGTAAACACCTCATGAACATACCAGTCCACATCCATAAGCAGCTACCCAGAAACCCTGTTGCCTCACTGACCACTTCTTACACGGACCACTCAGCTGAACAACAACTGCCGCAATGGTTTACTGACCTGTTTCTACATTCGCTGTCTGGGCTACATGTAACCCACCACAACAGACAGTGCATCTCTGAGTGCTGTGAGGTTCAGCTGAAGACAGGGACGGTTTGGGCCTCTCATGTGAGATACACATTGTGTCACTGAGCTAAAGCATGTGTGACTTTCTGAAAAATAAATACACAGCAATCAAACCCAGGAAATAGTTTCACATTTCCAAGAGTTTTCCCAAAAGATTTTAAAGACTCTTCCCACGATCTGGATGAAAAATAAATCTGCAGCTTGACACAAAAATATTTACCCGCCACTAAGTAGCGTATGTGTTCACCCCCGTCTGTTTGTTTATTGGTTTGTTTGGTTGTTATTACACAAAAACTACTGGACAGATTTCCACGAAACATAGTGACAGGATGCAGGACGGGTCTGGGAAGAACACATTCAATTATCCAGGAATTTTTTATCACTTTATTTTACATTGTGAGACTTTTTCTTTTTAGATTTTCTTTGAGGAATAATTCATGGATCTGGCCTGTGACAAAAATGAACAGTTCATTGTTTTTGTCTATACTTATGTGTCATTTCAATATTTTTATACAAAATAATTCTTTTTTCCTTTTTCTGTGTGTGGCATAGAAAACAAGCACATAGATTAGTATTTTTTTTTTTAGAAAATACAGTTGTAAATTTTAAAATGGGTGAACAATATATTTAATTATAAAGAAAATTGATTTTCTTTTTCATCCAATTGAGAGAAGATGGTGATGTGTGTTGTTAAACTGGGGTTTTCAAATATCATTATTAATTATATTATGATGTTTTTTTAAACATGCTGTGATAGAATGTGACACAAAAGTATTTTCCTAATATTCCTAAATCGATAATCAACTCATGACCCCCAGACTGGGATCCACTGGTCCACAGTACAAACGTCTGAGCAACTTTAACAAATCATTTTAGGTAAAATGATTTGTTATGGTTTCCAACCTGGGATGAGTCAGTGACATAAGATGAACACAAGCTCTGATGTCCAGCACGTTGTATTTGACCTGTTTTACTGACATGTTGGTTTCACAGGGATCAGAAACTAAAATGCTGGGAAGCATTGATTGAAGACTTGTTAAGAAAGATTTATTGAGTTTATTATTTCCACCAAGGAGGTTAAGTTCTCACCCGTCCGTTTGCTTTAAAGTTAGCAAGATTACATAAAAAACCACAGGACCTATTACCACAAAACTGAGTGGAAGAATGTGGTGTGGGTCAGAAAGGAAGGCAGATTTTGGTGTGGATTTTATTTTTCACATTCTTTAACATTTTGATATACAGGGTTTTTCAACATTTTAATTGATTTAATAGGGAATATCTGGATCTTGATAAAAGAAATATGTCATATTTAGGGACTGATATCTTCAGTGTGTGAACTTTGGTGCAGCTTGGTTGAATTTAAGAGGACTTGGGCTGTAGCTTTAGTGAACACCAGTTTGTCATGTAATGACTCAGGAGCTCAAACTTAAAGCAATCCACGAACTAAACTTAAATATTGACTTTACTTAAACTTTGAGCACTTTAAAGCTGACTGCTTTGCACTAAACAAACATGAATGATTTAGATTTTACATCCAGTCCCACTCGAGGCCTGCTCCATCGTATCACTGCCCTGAGTCACTCACCGTCTTGGATGCGCACCTTGATGAGGCGCACTCCTCCTCCTTTCGCTCTGGCCAGGAACTCCCTCAGCTCTGGCGTCACCACTAGTGCGAGAAACATGGCGGGTCAGCAGTCTCTTCCTCCCGCCGGGCACAGCAGCAGAGGTGTTGAGAGACAGAAGAAGTAGAAGAAGACAGGAAAAGAACTCCACAGCACAAGGCCCAAACAACTCAGTCCAGTCAAGAGACAGTGAAGTCCAACTTAAAGAGCCTGTTGTAAAAGCTTGGCCTTTACTCTGACTGTTGAAGAGGATTGCCGAGTGCGTCTCGACTCGATGAGAGAGTGTGACAGTGTGAGAAGGGACATTGCTCAAGTAACTAGAACAGTATCATGTGCATACAGTGAGAGGTAACCTGATCACCTCTCTCCCAAATTTAGCTCCCACTGACTGACTGACTGACTGCCCAGTCCTGTGAGCTGGTCTGTGAAACCCCCACCACACTAGAGCACCTGCAGTGGAGAGTGAGACCCTGCAATGACCAACTTCAACTTCTGAGGCAAGAACAAATAAAGTCATAAATGAGTCGTATTGATAGATCAGTACTTTGATCTGAACTCACGTTTCACCATTTTACAGGTCAACGGCCCCTTCCTCTCATTGAGATTGTACAATGTGTTATTGAGGTAAAACAAGAAGTGTGCATCCTCCAACAGTCCCCTTATTAAACAATATATTCAATTATTAAATATGGATTTTAATTTGGGTCCAAATTGGACACACTCAGATGTTGGATTTCTTTTCATCAAAAACAAAAAAGAGAAAGTGAAGTGAACACCGTTTCCTGGATCCACATCAAAGTATCACATCTTTCCACTGAGATGTGTGTTAATCCTTCGAGTAGTTTGTGTAATCAAGATACAAACAAACGCAGATGAAAACAACCTCTTCGGGCGAAGGAAGAAACCATGTTGCTATGGAAACTTCCCACATGACAACAGTGATGATCGACACCTGATCTTGTTGACATCATTTTTCTAAATATAAGACACACGTTTCAAAACTGACAGCGGTGGTTTATACTGTCTCATATCTGTAGTGAGAATTAAATCTGATGATGAGTCTCCAAAATCCTTGAACGAGTGACCCTTATTCGGTCAAATCATCCTCAGTAGTAACATAT